TCCCCAGCTGTAATCCAAACTTACTCTGCCAGTCCGTATACACCTGACGGAAAGCAAGACATCTTTACAATAGCAGGTCACAGAGAAAAAACAAATCTATCATTTCCCTTCAGAGAAGTAAAGTTTTAATGATTCCAAAAATGTTCTTTAACGGGATAGTTTTAGCCTCAGTTCCACATAAATCCACCACAGACAAGAAAAACAAATTTTAAAAAAATATGTTTTTAACTGGTTCACCAAACATGTTTTAACATCTAATTAAAAACTTGCAACCTCATGCCGTCCTAATATCAACATAGTTGAATTCAGGATGAATTATATGTTTTAAATCATTGGTTGCATCACTAAAGCGAATCATGAAGACAATGAGCCAGTGCGAAAAACCAAGGAGGGAATAAAGGGCCAGAAAATATTTGCTGTCGTATACGTCAAGTGCGAAAAACACGGACACTAAACGTGGGGGAAAAAAAGCGCGACCGGAGCCAAGCGCGGGAAAAAAAAGCTCATTCGGAGACAAGTGTGGGAAAACAAGAAACCCGAGCCAAGCGCAGGAAAACAACGCAACCGGAGCCAAGCGCGGGAAAACCAAGATGACGTAGCAAAGTGCGGGAAAACTAGACAACCAAAGCCAAGCGAGGGAAAAGAAGACAACCGAAGCCAAGCGCGGAAATAAGACAAGCGCTCAAAGCGCAAGAAAAACAAAATACCGCAACAAAGCGCGGGTGAACAGGAAATTTGTGCAGATGGTGGGGAAAAGGGTAGTTTTCAAAAACATGAAATCAAATTTACTTTATAACAGAGAACATAAGCAACACACTCCAAGAGCAGCATGGTGCACATGTGACCACTGACGAATGAACAGTTCGCGCTAATTTTTTTTCAATACTCATACCTGGTCAGCAAGGGACTGCAATGGAGTTACGTAAACACATCTGCAGTCAGGTGTTTGCTGAAGAAGTCGCAGTACTGCAAACTCCGCACAGATAGTCTTCCCACTGCCAGTGGGTGCTCCGATAAGAACATTTTCGTCTGAGTTGTACATGGTGTTGAAAACTGATCAAGGAAATAGAAAAAAGAGGTCTAAACTACGATGCAAGTAGTCAATGCCATCTGCGCCCATGCTCTGTCTTCAGTCTAAATTCTACAGCGCAATCGTGAAAAAATGAAGCACAGAGCGCTGTACACTTTTCCTTTGCCAATATTGTTAATTTCCACACTTAACTCAGTGATAAATATATGTTCATGCAAAAATCCTAAGGGAAGGATGGCCATTTAACGCATTTTTACAGCTCAGCTACGAATGCAACCTCATGCCGTCCTAATATCAACATAGTTGACTTCAGGTTAAACTAAACTTATTTAAATCACTGGTTGCCTCAAATTAAAGCATTCTGACATCAGACGTGGCTTCAATTTACGTTGGAGGATTTGAATAAAGAGCTTTTCAATTGAATTTCGTAAAACCAAAACCAAAACAATCACAACTGCTAATCATAGGAAAGAAAATATAGCGAGGAGAACGAGAACTGGAAATGAAACAAGTAAACTGCCTGAAGCGCGGGAAAACGCGAGTAGCCAAGTCGCGCTTGGTTTTAGTTTTGAATCTGATTGGTTGAGAAAAGTGGCGCGAGTTTTCTGGACCAAACACAAAACCAAGTAAAGCAAAAGAAATCAATCCTGCATTACTTTGGACACTCCATTGAAAATTGCTCTCAACAAGCCAAATGAAAAACCAATCCACTCAAAATGAACTCCTTGAATATTTTACCTTGCGTCTGTATGGGATTGAAGTAAGGGAACTTGTCCTTGTATAAACCTTCAAATGCTGGATTTCTCAGCGCAGAAACCGGCAGAGGTTGTAAATCTAGAAGTTCCGTGGGCGGAGGATTCTTCTCGGGTAAAATCAAATGACGGAATGAAACTGGCAACTGAGTTTCTGAACCTAAAAGAACAAATTCAACAATCGCCCACGTATAAATAAATATCGTTCGATTTCAACGTTTTTCTAAAATAACCTTTTTTCTCGCTCTCGCGTTCTTGATCATACTTTATCAAAGATTAGCATACACAAGCATTCATCACTGTAATTCACCGAATATGAATGTCGAACATAAGTGACATTATAACATATTTTTTTATCCACAACGATGGAACATAATATATGAACAACAGAGAAATTCAAACCAAGGCTTATATCTTTCGAAATCGCTCTTTTGCTTTGAAGGACTGGAAAACAAAAACGGCCTTTAAATCAGGTAGCAAATAGTGTCCTGCACTGACGTTTGCTGTGCGTTCATGAAGAGTCTGATGCGCGTTCAAAATTTAAACGCACGAACGAGTTTCTCCCTGGCGCATTTGATAACGTTTTGATGGCATATCACTGAGCAGTGGTGTAAATCAGTGTCTGATTCTCCCCACTAAAAAATAAAAAGCTGTGCTTCATAAAGAGAATTTGGATATCGAGAGTGAACCAAAGATTCTCACCCAGCCACTTGTCTGATACAATCCTGATAAAATATTGAGGGGGAAGCGGCTCGAACACAGGGACAAAGAACTTCAACGTGTGCTCATCCGTCGCAAACTTGCTCTTCAACAAAAAGTACTCGTGATGTAAGATGATTTCGCTGTCCACATCTTCCACAAAAATCCACATCGCCTCCGAGTTTCCGTGAACTTTCTCGTCCCACTGGAAGTCTGGGGTGATGGAAAGCTCGACACTGAGAGTGGATCTACAGAGAGAAACGGGAAGTAGTTGGTTAAAGCGCTCTCCAACTGAGTGACGTAATTCACGTTATCAACACCACAATGATTTGCAGGACCTTGCAGGACCGAACAGGACCAAGGTTAGCACATGCTATTTTTAAAAGGAAAAATTTCTTGTTCTCTGGCATTCAAAACCAACACAGTTTCATTTTTTTAAAATCAGATACCAGTAAGAACACCCGATAACAAGAACGACTTGTGATCTAACACTTGATAAGTTCTTTTTACTATTTACAGGATATGGACAAGCCACACCAATGCAAAAACCGCGTTGAAGTTTTAACATGAACAGAGGACAAAAAGCGTTCCGAAATCGCGCCCGTTAAGTTAGCAGATTTCACGTAAAGAGGTCCTAAGAAAAATTGAAATATGATTCCACACACTACCTACCTAGTTATGGGCTGAATATGGGTCGCAAGCTCCATCTTTGGAAGCTGATGTACAAACTTGTACAGCGTCTTTCCCATTTTGGGCATGTGCACTAACTCGCCTATCTCAGTGGCTCCCAAGTCGTAGTATCGCTCCCAAGGGAATTCCTTCTTCTCGATTCTCTTAATAACCTCCATGGGAATTTTCTTGAACTGTCGGAGAGGGCTCATGGAAAGCCACCTTGATTGATAGAAAATATCAACATCTCTTATTGTGAATAACAGGCACTCTAGATTTAAAATAATCTTAAAAGCTCTAAAAAAAACTACTTTACATCACATACAACTCTTTTTAACCTTTTCTTAACGATAAACTAGTGAACGGCACTGTATAAACTGAAATAGTAAAAACTTGTTTTCATCTCTAACGCGTTTCTTCTGACAATAGCAGATTTCTTCAAGGAGTTTTTCAAGTTAGGTAAATAAGCTTACTCATGTATAAATCGTAAATAAGATGTCTATTTTCGACCCTACGACGACTACGTGATGTGTTTGGAAGTCACAAATTTGGTACTAAATCTGTTCAAAGTAAGCAAAACGTTCTATCCTAACAAAACAAAAAAATATAAAATATTTATCGAAGGGGATATCCTACTTACATTCGTTTGTCGATCATTTTACACAAATTCAAACATTTATCCGTCAACTGAGCCCAGCCTCGGTTCAAAACAATTTCAAAGATGGCTCTCATCAACCGCCCAGAGGACTGCAAAGGAGGAAAAGATTTATTACACTTTAACTAATGGCGCTGCAAAAGCACCAGCACAGAATTCAACTGAGTGTCGAAAGCAGTAAAGGATTGTATTAACATGCTTCACTCTGCTTTGTGATTGGTCTACAAAACTCACGCCCCCTCTCAGCCAATCAGAAGCATAACTAAAAGCAACTGTGACTCATGTTGTCCCGCACCTTGTGTAGCTTGCTTCTTTTCAACCCAAGGTGTCGTTGGCTAATTGTGATATTTTCCTTGTTCTGATTGGCTGTCATAATACCCCACATCTTGATTCTAAGACAGTGTCGAAAGAAGTTCTTCCTCAACGTTCACCTTGAATCACAGCTTTGTTTGAACTCAACGTCAAAGAAGTACTTTATACCAAACTCGAAAAAACCTCTTGGCTTCGATTGTTCCGATGCAGATAACGCCATCCATTGGAGAAATCTCTAAGCCGGTGGATTACGCTATACTCTTTGTTAACACTTATTCGCTGGATAACGTTGTCCATCCTTCGAACAACCGAGCCCTGGCCTATTAAAAGCCAGTTGGTAACGTAAATTGGCCACCGTAAATAGTTTCAAAGCTGAAGTTTCGAGCGTTAGCACCTCGTCAATCACTCTGACGAAGGGCGAAAGTTCGAAACATCAGCTTTGTAATTCTTTGCGGTGGCCAATTTACGTCATTAACTCAGTTGATTATACTAAATTACCCTGTTATACTCTCTCACCGACGCAGCTTCACAATTTCTTTTGAAACGTACCCCCTTTTCCTAATAAAAACTAACCTGTGTGACATAAACCATGTCAGACATGAGAGCAAAACCTTCCAACTTCAGGTGAGAGATGTATGCTTGCAGTAACACATTAACCTGTCAACAGCAAGGGAAAAAAAAGGCAACAGTTGAGGATTTCCTATTCGGTACCCAAATGAAATCTAAACTCTGTTAAAATTTTCCATGTCTTCAGACAACTATATGGCAGCTACAGCGAACGTTGTTCTCGCAACTGCCAAAGATGCCATCTGAAATATCACTGTTCCAAAGACTCGACCCTGCACACCAAAGAAAGGTATCCAGGAATTTGACACTTTGGGTTCATAGTACATTCACAAAATTGCCGATCCTTACGCGACCTCAATCAATGATTATTACAAAAGTTTTATGTGGTATTTTTACAGGAATGCTATTTGTGCAATATTAGCACAATATTGGCACTCCTTGGTTATCCATACGTGCCATTTCACTTTACATGATAAGCTGATCTGCGATCTATTGTAGAACAGACGCATAGGTGACGTAACCATTACCAACATTTTGCTTTTTTATCATTTAAAACAAATGGGGTCTCGGGGTCTGTACCGTAACAGATCAGAGAAGACGGCATATTGCAGTGAGAACATCAGTGACACTCGGCTGCGCCTCATGTGACACACATTTTACCACATTTGGACGTCATTTTGATCTATCGCTGAACAGATGCACAGCAACATAGAATCTATTTTTTCATCCTTTGCACCTTAACATCAGTATGCGTATTCTAAATACTGTTCTCCGCATAAATCCTAAGCTGCTGACAAGGATAATTTTTTAACAATCAAGAGCTTCTTAAAAGTCGGTGATCATTTCCCTTATTCTTCTGACCTTAATATTTGATTCAAGGGTGATCTTGTAAGGAGAATTTAAGTGCTCGTCACTCTTAGGGGTTAAGGGGTTAAGCAGAAAACAGCACCTTACTTAACGAGCAAAACAACCGAAATTTTCATCTTAAAAACTAGACCCAATACCGTCACAACGCCACGTGCAGAATAACTTGAACAACACACCTCCCTAACTCTCACAGCTGTGAAACTGTTTACAAAATGAAAATACCTTAGCACTCGGCTCTTCAATGCTCTCCTTGACAGGGATAGGAACACGTTCTAACAGCTTGTTCAGTTCCAGCTTTTCTTCCTAGTGGGAAAAAATTAAACCGCAATGACGTTATATTTAAACTCATGATACAAATTCTTGTAATTGTCCAATCTGCATGTCCAGGA